CATGAGTTGTAACACATGTGTATACGAAAGCAATGCTAGGAATGTTTTTGTATAGCTATCCTTAACTGAATTAGCAAAAATGCTTTGTCTTCCTTATTATGCTTATGTCTTTTCTTCAAAAAAAAATAGAGATAAGGGCAGAACAGGTTCTGTATGGAAGTGAGGAGGTTGGAGGGGAGAGGATGGTGGAGGGGGGCAGGAAGGAGAAATGACCCAGACAATGTATGCACATGTGAATAAGTGAATAATTTAAAAAAAGGAAAGCAATCGAATCTCAGGAGTGTGGTATTTATTTGATATGCAGTTTTTAAACCAATGGAGCTTAGCATCTAGATTTAAAAACCTCAGTTTGGTCACGTTATATTTGTAGTTTTCTGGATTTAATTTGTCATGAATTTTCATAGAGTTATGATGGATGTCAGGGTAGGGTGGTGTATAGAATATGGAAATGTTTGAATTAATATGAATTTTCAGTTTGGGAAAAGTGAAGTTTCTTGTGATGTATGGTATTAACAATTTCACAACAATGTGAATTTAACAAATGTTACTCAGGGTTGAACTTAGTGTGTTTAAGTGGTAGCAATTATTTGATGTATAATTTTGTCTGGAAAAGTAGAATCATAAAGCTACTGACACTTTAAAAATAAGCAGAAATTGCAGCAGTGAAAATTACCCAAACCTCTACCTGAGTAGTCAATGAGGCTGAAACCTTTTGATAGTTTTCTATCATTCTCTATCCATTTATTCTTGAAAGTCCTTAGAGATTTGGTCCAATCCATCCAAAATTTGACTAATTATGAGCCCTGTGTATTGATCCTCCAAGGTCCTATAATAGTCAATGTTTAGTCCATTCTGACATTCAGGTTAATGCCACCAATGTGGTTGATTCTATCCCTGCCTCCTCATTCATGGGTGCTGTTTTAGCAAGCTCCTATCTGTCATTGTATTCACCTCAATCGTGAGGACAGGGGCTGAAGCTTCATTGGGTTGAAGGCATGGGAGGGCCTTTGAACCTTCACACCTTGGGCATGACTACAAAGAGCAGCAGAGAAACCTAGTAAGTGATGAGTGATGGATGTGGAAAGGTTTTCAAACATTCTCTGTAATCATGAAGACTGTCTTAGTATAGCCAGACAAGAGGAGACCAAAATGAAAACATGCACTTGTGAGGACTATGAAGTTTATGTTCTTTGTTCTGTTAGTGCATCAGAAAACATAACACAAATTTTCTATCCATCTGTATTAATTGGATTTCCCTTAGGTGTGTTACCCAAAATAGCACAAATGAATTCTTCTAAAGTGTTTCCTAGGTAATTCAAAAGGACTGAAATGAGGATGACAGTAACTACATTATCAGCCTTTGTTGAAAGATGTCTATGAGTCTCAGAAATCTTTCTTCTCTCTTGTTTTATTCATTTAGTGATATTTTTCATTATTTATCTAAATGTGCCCACATTGCTATCATCTTCCAAAAATTAAAGAGCAATTTATCTCAATGTGTCTATTGTAGGTACTAAGACTGTTGCCATTTTTACATTGTACTGTCAGGTTATGGACACAGGATATCACCCAAGAATTGCCTGCCAGTTTGTCACATTGAAAACAAAACCAACATTTCAATTCTCTGTCACTTCAGAAACATACATGCCCTCTTTCTTTTTGGATTCCTGGATGAACACAGATAAGTGCAGTGGATGGCTCAAGTTGTATACAGCAAGGGCAGACATTTATGATAGAGAATGATCACAGAAACTGTAGTCAGATTATTCATCTCATGTCTTTCTCTTGATGTCACCCAAGGATATTCTTATAGATTTCACATCCTTTAAATTCTTGAATCATTCTACATTAACACCAAAGAAGAGTTAATGTCAGAGCCTGACTACATTCCTGTTTAGGAAATTGGACAGAACAAAAAAATATAATTCAATTGCAGTTAAGATCTCTGGCCTCTGATTAAAATTATATGTTACCAGGTATATATATTTTAAAGTTTTATGTTTGGATGTGGAATCTGCTAATTTAGTTTTGAATTATTCTGTTTGTACTTATGATTTATTTTATGTAGGTAAGTTTGTTATGACATTTGCATTTCAGCCTTGGCATTTTCATTAATTTGTGATTTGATTCTTCTGAATTGAGTAAACATCACACAGATAATGAACAATACCTTATTACTAATATGTGACAAATGCATGAATTGAGTGATCAAACATTGAGATATTATCAAGTAGTAATGATAAGGTGGATTTCATGGCATTAAAGAAAGTTATCTTCCTCCCTGAAGTTACATTTCCCTATTTCTATAAAAGGATATTTCATTGTTTGTATGAATATAGGTGTATGCCATGAATTTGGTGAAGAATGTCTCTTTTTAGATGCTTGAGTGGTACAGATTTACTGGCCAAATTCAAGGTAGGTTCAACACACTTGATGCTTTCATGTCTGAATTTTCACCTTTTCCAGGAATACCACATGGAACTAGAGTCAAGGTAAAGTAGATTTTGCTTTTGTCTATGTTAAGGACACCTGTACTCTATGTTACAATTCTCAAAATTACATGAATCAATTATTCAAAAATATAACAGCAATTTTTGTAGGCAAAGAAAGAAAGCATTGCACAGAGAAAAGGATCAGTAAGCCATATGCTGTGGAGTAAGACAAAGCATACAGCTACAGATCATTTCCGCCTGCAGTGTTGATTTGCACCTGTATTCACCAATAAGTTCACTGTTTCCACATGGATGAATTTCTTTATTTAGAAATACAAATGATCAATGTTTATAAAATTTCAGTCTCTTATTAGGTGCAACATATATCGGGATGGATGGGCAAGATATGCACAGAGAGGTGGAGAGACTTACACACATCCAGCATCAGAATCAATAAGGTCAATGATGGAGGATTAACATGTTTATTGTCTAACTCCCATTTCTAGGGCACCATTCCCTCTACTGGAGAAAAGCAAATTATTTCCCACACAAAATAAATTTCCTGGTGGATTCTGGTAAAATGTTAACTAATGTACACACTGAAGAGATATATTATGTTATATCACAAAAATAAAAATATGTATATGACAAGGTATCACTTTTTATTTGGAAAAAGTTGATTAGCAGTCAAATTGGATATACAAAATTTATTGAAAATCAGAGAAATATCTCCTAGTGAGCACATTATTTAGAAATTCTCACTGTGTGAAAGTGCATAGAGGCAGAAGTCTTGTCAATGTATTCTCTTAATAATAAACTTACAAGTTAAAGATATTCCTTTCTCAGGTAATGCAATGTGTCAGCTATGGCTCTTGTAGTAGATATAAATATTTCACATGGGGCTTTGACCACTTGCTGATGTAAAAAAGTACATTTCATGAGCAATAGGTACTCTGTTCTATACTAATTAGGAAAACCTTAGGTACTTTTCAGGTAAGTAAGAAGTATTTTTCTGATATTTACATCAATATTGAAAAGAAAATAGTCCACAACATGTTAAAATATTTCTTTTTAGGGCTAAGTATACAGGAGAAGGGCGTCATGCTGAATAACATGCCATATTTCATAAGAATTTTTAAGACCTTTAAAATAATACTATGTGTATAGATATTATTAAATCTTAATATTTTATGTACTTATTGGTTATTATTGGTTTTAACAAAGTGTAGTACAATATTCTGAGAAATTTGATTCTGTTCTGTTTTGGGGCCAGAGTATTTAAATACATTAAAGTATTCATATGCAAATGTACTCATCAAAGAATGTGGGAATCAATATTATCTAATTTGAAATTTGTTTTAAATATTTAATCCCATATTTACATGGCCATCAATAGTACTTAATTATAATACACACTTTTCCATTTATGTTGAAACATACTCTTTACTGGTCTGTTTGCAATATTTCACTTAATTTTCTGATTCGTAATTTTTCCAATTGAGTGACAGTCTGGCCTTACGAAACCTGAGCCCATATTTTCTTTATGTTGCCAGTGTTAGGAAATTGAAATTTATGTATCTGGAAGGATTGCTGTGAAATTCTGAGCATTGTAAATAAGAATGTTGGGAATCAAAAATGGATTTGGGACTTTCCTACATGCTACTCTTCAAGTGGAAGCAGGAAAGATTATAATTAGGAAATAATGAAGCATACAGTTTTTGTACTATAGAAGATATAATGAAGAAAAAGAATTAAGAGCTATTTTGTATTCCTGATATATTAGTAATGTGTATAGCATTGATACATATAAGCCTGGATAAAATAAACAATTTGAAATGTGCTTCCTTCCATTTACTTTTAAATCACCAACAGTTACAGGTGTGCTCATGCCACATTTGTTATCTATGTGACATGTTAATATCAACATTTAATTGAACAATCGTTACATAATTTGAAGTTATACAAAGCCAACAATATGAGTTATATTTCAAATAATTTAATTCCGATCAAGTTTGAGGGAGAAGAGAAATCAGAATAGCTAAGCAAGATGAAAACTCCTGGGATGATTTTGCTGAGCACATTTTTTTATTCTGTAGAGTCAACTTTAGCAATTATATAATAAAGTAGTTCTTCATATACAGCTTATAAATAGTGTAAGTCAAGAAATTTTAAACAATTTTCTTAAAAGAAAATGAGAGATATTTGACCAATGCTTAATTTCCTTCAATATCAATGACATTTTGCTTCAAATGTGTCAGATATTACTTTTTGTCTATTTTTAAAAACTAAGTTGAATTTTAATATGGTTATGTTTTTTCCCTCCTCAGTTACTAGCTTACACATAATCAGAGTCGTATATCTATAAAGTAGATATGTAGTGAATAAGATAGATAGTAAAACAACCAAAACCAAATATTTCAGCATTCAGATTGTCACAAATGAGAAGTATTTCTGAATATGTTTTTACCTCAAGTGTGAATTCTAACAAGTCTTTACATAAATTCAAAACATGCATAGTATTGGATGAATATTTGTTTCATTTTTCTGACAAATTTCCTTTTCCAACAGTTGCCCAAACAATTTAGAAACACAAAATCTTACACGTGTCTCAGAATTCCAGCTTGTGGGAATCTCCAATGATCCAGAATTGCAACCAGTTCTCTTTGGACTGTTCCTGTTCCTGTACCTGGTCACAGTGTTTGGGAACTTGCTCATCACCCTAGCTGTCAGCTCTGACTCTCAACTCCATACACCCATATACTTCTTCCTCCCCATCCTGTCCTTGAATGACATCTGTTTCATTTCCACCATGGTCCCAAAGATGATTGCAGACATTCAAACAAACAGTCGAGTTATCTCTTATGTAGGTTGCCCGACCCAGATGTCTCTTTACATATTTTTTCTATGTATGGATGATATGCTTCTAACAGTGATGGCCTATGACCGGTTTGTGGCCATCTGTCACCCACTGCATTATACCATCATTATGAACCCATTCTCCTGCTGTGTCTTAGTTTTGGTGTCTGCTTTGTTGAGCCTTTTGGACTCCCAGTTGCATAATTTGATTGCTTTGCAAGCTACTTGCTTTAAGGGTGTGGAAATTTCTAATTACTTCTGTGACCCTTCTCAAGTACTTAATCTGTCCTGTTCTGAACACTTTAGAAACAGTATGGTAATGTACTGTATTGGTGCTACACTGGGTGTTGTTCCTGTTTCAGGAATCCTTTTTTCTTACTACAAAATTGCTTCTTCCATTCTGAGAATCTCATCATCAGGTGGGAGGTATAAAGCATTCTACATCTGTGGGTCTCACTTGTCAGTAGTTGGCTTATTTTATGGAACAGCCATTGGTGTGTACTTAGGTTCAACAGTATCACATTGTTTGGGTAAAGTTGTGGCAGCCTCATTAATGTACACTGTGGTCACCCTTATGCTGAATCCCTTCATCCACAGCCTAAGGAACAGAGACATTAGTAGGACCCTGAAGAGGTTGCACAATCGCACAATCTGTGGTAGCCATTTGGACTGTAATATTGAAATGTCAGTAAAAATCAAGAACTAGAGGTGTGAATATTTCCTTCCTCATTTCATCGTTTACAAAACTATGAAATTTCTTATTTCACTTATTTGACATCTTCTTTCCTAGTGAATGGTGATTGAGATGTATTAGTTAGATTATTGAGATTTACTCAAATGATTGCTAATTTTCAGTTGGAAAGATATCCTTCTTTGGGGAAAGATGATAGTGTAGTTGCAGAAAAATGTCAATGCAATTGGCTGCCAACCAAATGTGCATATAAGTGGCTAAATGACAAAATGTTCACTTAAATTTTTGATAATTTTACCACAATTAACAATGTAAATAGAATATAACTTTAATAACTGGACAAAATGGGCTATAAGAATTGTCTGTTAGAGGTTTCTCCAGAGCAGATGAAAAGTTCACAATCTTCTGTGTTCATTCATTGACTGTTCTTCCATTAATATTCATTCATCCTTAGAGACTGGAATACAATGAACTATGTGTATAGATATGTGCTCTGTGACATGAGACTGCAGGAGATATACAGTAAATAATTTCACTGCTTTTACAGACTTTAGTTTTAATGGTTCTAGTTCTGTTGACCACATACCCTGTTTCAAGAACCTTTGCTGAGTTCATCACAAAGCTCCTATTTGACAGTGTTCATATCAGTCCTAGGTAGGGGTCTGAACTCTCATTGGATTTTAGGCAGGGGAAGGGTTTCAGTTCCATAGTTCATAGTCGTGATATGGCAACAATCAGTACAACCCAGTAAGTGCTGTGTGTGAAGATGGATGGAGGAAGTTCTATCAAAATCATGTTTTATGCTCATAATTACAAACATGAAAAATGGTTGGGGACATGGGGATATTCAGCTTGGGCTATAAGGCTCAAAATCCTACATTTCAAAAAATGAGATTGAGGGGTTTCATGATATCGAGTTTATTTTCTGCACAATCTTTCCCACATGAAAAAGTCTATGTATTATTTTTCAAAGAAAGAGGCACCAAACATTTATGTAATCAATAACAGATGGTTGGACCCAAAAGTGAAGAAATTATTGATTTGTACTGTCTTATATCACACACAGTGCATCTACCATGATAATTCTTGCTTTTTGTCCCATTAGCAACAAAACCACCATGCATACATCCATGTCTCTCCCAGAATTGAGTAAATTTCATTATCCTTTTCCAAATAGGAGTTCCAAGTACATCAGAGTTGGATGGCACCTGCTGCCTCAAACATAGGGATGATGTCTTAGATCAGAAATAAAGCTAACAAAAATAATAATCAGCTTGAGGCTCTGTCTAGCCATACACCAGGATATATTTGGAGCTATCCAATCTTCTTCCCATATAACAACCTCTGTTTTAAAACTTAAAATTATATTTGATTTCAGGATTTAATAACTTTCTTGCTGAGGAAAGAGGATAAAGATAAAGTTCATAAAGCATAAATGTGGTTGAGAAATCTGGAACTATGGATGGTAAACAATGAAATAGTTGATCAGACTCAGAAACTGACAATTTTTATCTTCATCTTTATCATGTTTTATTTCTGTGACATATGGAGGTCTTTAGTATCTCTTATCTCAGCATTACCATATAAGGTAAGTTGTATTTCATGCAATGGTATTAGGGTTGTATTAGACAGATAATAATTTCTTCTTATGACATTCATAGGTCATGAATATATAACATAAACACAGTCTGTAAATTTTATATCATTATTTGATTATTGTTAATGTTAAGGTTAAACTACATAAACTTTCAATAAAATATACCGGGATCTGAAGTCTGCATGTTCCTATTTGAGTAATGTGGGGGGATCATTTTTTTAAATGTGAAATTTATTCATATATTTGTGATGGATGACCAACTCTTATTTCTGATTCTTTAGAGTGTATACATATGCTCTACACAGGAGCCATTATGTTATCATAAAAACATGGAACTGCTCTTATTGAATCAAAATAAATGGCCATATTCACTGCTTTTTCCATACACTTTAGGCCTAACTGTAGGCACTTTCATCCCTTGCAGTAATGATTGGAAGAGTGAGAGACATTACATGCTCCATGTGTGTGTCTATGCCATGCTCTCTTGGACCTGTGACTATTTAGCAATATCTGCAACCTTCTTGTTTCATGTATTCCATACATAAAGACAAGTGTCTTTGTGGTTTCTTTGTGCTGCTGTGCTTTTTCTTAAGCTTTGGGCTCCTGACATTATAATTTTGTTGCCTTACAATTTCCCTATTTGAAAAATATGAAAAATTCCCATTTCTTCTGCAACCCTTCTGAATTCCTCAATTTTTCCTGTTCTTAAACCCTTCAGATAACATTTTCAATTATTTTCTTCAAGCCATATATGCTGATCCCTATCTCATGGATCTTTTATGTTACTATAAAATTATTTCCTCCCTTCTGAAAATCCAATCATCTGAAGAGAAGTATTTAGCCTGCTCCATACTTGGGTTTTATGTCAGTTGCATTGTTACTTCATGTAAGAAGCACTGGAGTTTTCGTCAGTGAAATCCCCCAGAAATCCTTTACTGGCCTCAGTTATATATTCCTTCATCTATAACTTAAGTAATGGGATGTCAAAAAGTATCCTGAGGAGCATTCAATAGGGGTATCTATATAATTTTCATTCAAAACTGTTCAAAATGTATGTGCTACTAAATCAGTATAGGTACCCATCAATAGATCAGTGGGTAAAGGAAATATTCCATTAACACACAATCCAGTATTATCAATCATGAAGAATAGAACTGTGAACCTGTTGCCTGTGGCTCACCACAAAAAAGGGCTGGTGGAGTGGTTCAAGGTAGGGCCTTGAGTTCAAGCCCCAACATATAAAAAAAAAGAGACAAGAATTCACCATGTTAAGTGAAATAAGCCAGACTCAAAAAGTAAAAATAATGTATTTCTCTCATATGCACAATCCAGATTTTAAAAACAGGAAAAGAAACAGAAGGGAGATTATTGGGTAGGATAGTAGGAAATCTCTGAAATCATGTGTGAATTGAAATGTGTTAAAACAGACACAGGTTATCTGTGTCTGTATCTGACTGACCTGGACAATCCTATATTGTCTTCTTGAAAACATAAGTAATCATTTCCCTTCCCTATCACCTCAAGATGAAACAGACTCTTCACTGTGAATTGCACTTGAATATATCTGGAAGATAACATGACAAATCATTGGGTGACACCTTATGCAACAGTTATAGAATATTTGACCTCTTAGGATTGCATCAACCAGTGGGAAGACACATAGTCATTAAGCACTGATTTCTGACATTGCCCAAGTCGAGGATATCTTCGAAGCTCTCCATGTCCTTCTTCATTCTAGTTATCACATCCCAATTTCAACAGGATTCATGCCTTCTCAGGAAACAAGAGAAGCTATAAAATGGTCCTGAGTTGGACACGTGGTTAGGACCTATGTGCCTAAGCTTAAAACTTTCTTCTATTTGTTAAACAATAAAAAATTTTAGCTAAATTTATCCATAGTTTGATAGGTAGTTTGTATTCTTGATGGATCAACCCTTTCATTTTTTTGGTAGCACTGGAGTTGAAGGCCTCACACTTGCTAGAAAATTCACCTACCACTTGATCCATGACTCCAACTCATTTTTCTTTAGTTTTTTTTTCAGAAAATGTTTTATGCTTTTGCCCAAGCTAGCCTCAGATTGCAATTTTCATACTTCAACCAGGTAAGTAGGCAGAATTTAAAGCTGCACACCATTTAACCTATCTTGTTTTGAGAGATCGGGTTTTACTATTTTGGCTATGCTCACATTGAACCCTGTTTTCTTCCTGTCTCCCAATTATCTGGCTAAGATGAACTCATTATTTCTGTTAAAACAAAACAGGGTATTAGTCCTTATCACGTCAGTATTTTCATCTGAGTACACTTCCTATTAACACAAAAGAGAAACTTAAAAATACACCTTGATGTAAATTATCACATTCTTTCAGTAACAGGTAATTTTCTTGTATATTACTTATGTGAGATTTAAGTAAGCATTTGGTAAGTTCTTAAAGAATCTCTTCATGAATTAATATATCATTACTGTCATGGAAATATTGAGAGGTGAAATACACACACGAAATTCCCAACCATATTTTCCTTTTGAGAAAAAGTATGCTGGTTAATGGAAACATGCAGAGATAATATGGAGTCAAATTTTCTGATTGATAGATAAAAACAATATAAAATGATAGACCAGAAACCAATTTAATAGAACCTTCAAATTTTAAGATAGGCACTGTGCCCTCTTAATAGGTAACAACAGTTGCATTTAATGCAGCAGGTTCTGAATGCTGGGAATGTTCGAAACCCTGATAGAATATAGAACAACCAAATCTTTATTGCAGATAGTCTAATTAAATTAGAATTGTTCTAAGATCCCAGTAGAAATATATTTGGGGATATCTATAGGGATATATATGTGTGTGTGTGTGTGTGTGTGTGTGTGTGTGTGTTATTGAGACTAACAAAGTCAAATTATTAGTTTTCTAAAAACATCTTTCTTATAATAAACTCATAATGTATGTAATTATCCTGCCTATTTTATAGACAAGGAAATTATCTAGATGTGTTTTACAATTTCCCATCTAAATCAGTTAGTCAACAGAGTAATGAACCTGTGTTGCCTTCACTTTTTGAATTAACAGAAATTGGGACACATGTATGTGGAAATATGGGTGGGAAAAATTTGTTATTTGGGAACTTTGACACTAGTATCTGTGTGTTGGAACTTCCCCTGTTGCCAAAGTCCTCAACTATGTATTAAGGGGTTTAGGAAAGAAAAACCTTGAAGCACTATATGCAAAATACCATAGACAGGAGGAAGCAACTGAGGTACATCTGCAGAATAAGTAAACCTGTGTAACTTGTACAGATCTCATTAAAAAGGTGTAAATACAAACCTGATTGTTAGAATTTCATTGATTTTTACCATTGACTTGTATAGTCAGTGAAGGCACATCAATGCCATTGATGTAATATGATTATGTCCATGTATCT